ATTTTCCCTGAGTCATTCTTGGATGAGTTCAAACTTTCTTGACAGCTTAACTTTGGAGTGGAATTTAAGCCACTCTGCGTTGAAAATAACGCAATCMAAGACTTCAGACAGATACTTTGACTTACCATCTTTCATTCTGACAATACTYCGTCCACTAGAACTATCGCTAGCCACTAAAACGAAGCCATCTCCTTGGATTCCTATCATAAACTCCATTTTGGATTTTTTCTTTCTTGTCTTTCCTCGTGCTTAGGTCAGCGGTTATCACACTACGCGCATGATCAATCCAAATGGGAATTAAAATGGCGGACGTCTGAAAAAACACACGTCGCAAATTTTTTCATTTAAGAAAAATTAAAATGATATTTTAGCGGATAATAATACGACGATCAAGCATGAGAAGGAGAAGTTCGAATTCCATGAAAGCAGTATTCGTTGTCCTATTTGCGGTATTCATAATTATTTGCTTTTTATATTACGTCTTACAAGTGGAAAATGAGACGACAAAACCAGTTCGAAGTATGGGAAAGAATGAAAGAAATTATACTGAAATTTTCAAGAAAACATTCAAAAACAGCCAAACAACCAAAACTACTGTTTCCAAGAGGAATGAATTACAGAAAACCGCAATTCTGGTGATAGCTTGCAATCGTCCTTCAGTGAAGAGGTGCTTGGATGCRCTGTTGAAGTATAGGACTGCAAAGATCGATTTTCCAATATTGGTTAGTCAGGACTGCCAACACAAAGAGACATCGGACACTATAGAATCCTACGACAAGGACGTTAAACAGATTAAGCTACCACATCTACCAAAAATAGAGGTTCCATCCAACAKGGAGCATTTTCGTGGATACTTTAAAATAGCCAGACATTATAAACTAGCCCTTGTTATTGTCTTCAATATCATGGATTATGATAATGTTATCATCGTGGAAGATGATTTGGAAATTGCTCCTGATTTTTATGAATATTTTGCAGCWACTATACCACTCTTGCACAAGGATTCAACTTTATGGTGCATTTCGGCTTGGAATGATAATGGCAAAACAGGATTTGTTAAGGGCAATGATCTTCTTTACCGAAGTGACTTTTTTCCTGGACTTGGGTGGGCTTTAACGAAGAGAGTTTGGAAAGAATTAGAACCAAAGTGGCCGGCGTCATTCTGGGATGACTGGATGAGACATCCCAACCAGCGTGATAACCGTGCTTGTATAAGACCTGAAATCCCACGAACCAAAACTTTTGGTAGAATTGGAGTGAGTAATGGACAGTTTTTTGACCAACATTTGAGAAAAATACAATTGAATACAGAGTTCTTCCCATTCACTAAGCATGATATGTCTTATCTGATGAAGTTTAATTATGATAGAAATTTTAAGAAAAAAGTTTATGATTCAAAGCTGGTGTCAGCAAATGACGTAGTACAAGAAAAAGTGGATCTGCCAGTTGTCAGAATTGAGTACAMCTCAAATAGAGAATTCATTTCTTTGGCTAAGCAATTTGGGCTTATGGATGACTTGAAGGCTGGAGTTCCTAGGATGGCATATCTTGGGATAGTTAGCGTTATGTATAGAAAGTACAGAGTGTACATTGCACCTCCAATAACCTGGACCTCCTATAATGAAGAGTAAATAGACCTCTGTAGCTTGAACACAATGTTTTCCTATTTCAGACCAYTGTTTTGTTTAACAGTTGCACATGAGAAGACCCAAARTATATATACAGCTCAAACCAAGAGCCTTKTTCTCAAGAGGATGACATGTGGTGTGAAATAGGAAAGCCTTACACCCACGTCCAAGCTAAAAAGGTCTAGAGATTATGCTTCTCTCATTTAATTGCACTTTGGGGTGATACTTTAGGTTTTGTTTTCATTTTGATAGACAGAAATAGAAAGAAAATATTGCTGGTTGATTCATTTATTTGTTTTTCTTTGTGGGCTTCCTGTGGTAAGACTGCTCTACTGTCTACAACAGGAAGCCCAAAATAGAGAAATTCTATAAAACCAATACATAGAAAATGATGTATAGCATACATTTTTAAATAACATAATTTAATTTTAGTATGAAAATGAAAAATATACTATAAAAAAGTAAAGAAAAATAAAATGAAAAATGTAATGAAAAACTTAATTTTTTTCAGATTATAATGGATTTAGATAAGATTTTTAAAGCTACTTTGGTACGTCATTTGATATTAAGATGCCAAAAAAACTCTCCCCTCTCCCCCACAGAAAAAACAAGTAAAAATAATAATAAAATGAAGATAGAAAAAAACAAGAATTACCAGGGCTTAATAAATAACTAACATACTATAACCCATCTGTCTGTCCACCCTGCCAGATACATCGGGAAAAAATTGTCTATACAAATAGTTTGAGTCTCTTTGTCTTGTCTTAAATCTCCTTTTTGAAAAGCATTAAAAACTTCAAAACAAATTTTAATAAAAAATAAAATTAAAAAACTTTGAGTGAGCCGCCAGATCGAGCCGCCATTGTTAATGTTTGACAAAAGTGAAACAATGGATWACGTTGCTAGGCGACAAGTATTCGTTCCCAGGAGACAGACGTGTATTCGAGTTAACTCCACAAAACTTTCCCGTTGTATGATCATGAAGACCAAATACTCGAGGTTTTGAACGGGTTTTTGGCGAACRATCGTGTTTATAAAGACCTATGCCTATTCGATGGCAAATGGCAAAGGAAAATATGGCATAGATCCAAGGATTGCTTGTATAACTTCGCCACTTTGGAAGCATTCTTCGGGAAGTAGTGTTGTGACTTTGAAAATGAGACCACAAGCTTCTCCGTTTACTTCACTTGATACTTTCATGGCTGCTCACAGTCCACGACGATTTTGCCAAACGAGACAAAGATACCTTCTAAGTAAGCACATACGTCTATTTTCAGCATTAAATTGTATTTTTCCTAGACTTCTGAGCGTGAAATGTGGTGTTTATAAATTTCATGAATGTTTGTTCTTGCAGRGCCTTTGGGCTTCGATAAGCAAATATCAGAGTCAGGATTCGAACCTGTGGATGACGAAAAAGAAGCAAGACCGAAGTCAAGGTAAACTACACTTCAAAATATCTAATTCTCCGGTAAAATACAATTTTTCCCCCGATTTCAAAGTCCTTGCAAAGCTATCTAGGTTTTTACTACTGTGTCAAATAATAAATTACTCAGCCAAGTAATCAAACAGCCCTAGAGTCTTAAATTTAAGATATGCTGATTAACAAATGGAAAGATCTTAAATCCAAAGTCTTTTTTTTTCTATGATAAAAACACTTTATTTTAAAAAGAATATTTTCATAAAGTAAGATTTAATTTGTACTTGTAGTTTCAAAAAAAGTGAACCTTAAGTATAACTATATAATTATCCACACTTCTTAAATATGTGTACAGTGTTTGATGAAGAAAGACCTTTTTGTTTACTAATTGTCTTATAGTCTTTGAGCCTGGAGTGTGCATAATTAAAAATTTTCAGTGCAATGAATTTCAGCTTCAGTTTACTCCCTTATTTCCAAAACACTTTCTTGAAGCTGAACATTACATGGGCAGCCTTCTTATGGAAGGGGAAGGGAGTAAGCGAGGGTGGTTCCTTGTCCTGGAGTAAGGGCGTTGGATGGACTCATATTCAAGTATTGACTAGTCCATAGGCCTGACATCATCTGGGTAGCCTAAGTTCATATGTATATATTTTATTTCGACCATGCAATTATGCTTTTGGCTGGAGCAATGTTGGTATTATCATAAATATGGGAAATACATTGTCCTGTTTTGAATTTGTGCCATTTACAATTTCTTAACACTATAGTTCATTAGTTTTATACATTTCCTGTAGTTTGATTAGGAAAAACCTGCAATAACCATCAGTGTCCCCTTCTTAATTAGTGTGGATGTTTTGTTGTTTTTGGCTTACTGATGACATTAATTGTTAATTTGTTATATCCCAAACCACTAGATGGTGTTGCAGGTATTCCCTGGCTTATGTATTCAACATAAACCAAGTCAAAATATGGCAACCAATTTGAATAAATATTGTTCTGYACTGAYTAGCCTCGTGTTAACGTGRAAAGYCACCGAATTCCAACTGGAATTTAGAAGTTTATTTTTGAGGAGGCAGGATAACTGGAGAACCACAAGAAAAACCCACAAAACTGGAGAGAAACTAAGCAACTCTTCGGATTTTTTTTTCATGAACTTTCTGATGAACTCTA